TCATCGGCGGATTGCGACAACATGCTCGGCGAGTATGGACAAACCCGCCGGAGGTGCTGACATCATCTGACACTGATTCGTGTTCGACAATATTTTTCGGAGTGACATTCGCTACGGTTACTGCTTCGACGACCATCGCCGACTCTCGATAATGTTAGTAATAACGGACTGGAATGGTGAACTAGAAAGGATTGTGAGTACAAATATGAAACCCTAATGTTGTGACCCCCCTATAGGCTAACCCACTACAGCCTACACAAACACAACACATATAATGTTTGACACAACCCCATAGGCAAAGTGGGGGAGACCTAGGGGTCACAAGACCAGTCAAGGCAAAGCAAGGCAACAACAAGCTCAGGGTGGATCTCAAGGATACCACACAAATTCCGAGCACAAGCTAGTGGTCACAAGACCAGTTCACATGCAGGTTTATAACAGAGCATGAGATACAGTGATCACAACCTAGCAAGAGTAAACATGCAGGTAGATATATATATAGTGATCACAGTACAAGCAAGGTCAAGAGGTAAGTAAGTGAGGTCCAGTAGGCACAAGGCCTAGCAGAGTGCAGAAGCGCTGATGGTCACAAGGCGGAAGCGCCTTGGTGAACACATCAGCAAGGTTGGCCTCAGTGGCCACGTAACGCAGACAAAGCTGACCGCGCTGCTGCAGCTCTCGAGCAAGGAAGTACCGCAGGGCGATGTGCTTCGTTCTGTGCTCCAGTCTGTGCTCCTCACACAAGGCAATGGCAGCCTGGTTGTCGACGTACAGCACTGGAGGAGAACGAGGCCGCTCACCCAAGTCAGTCAGCAGGTAGGTCAGCCAGCGTAGCTCCTGGGCCGCCATGGCTGTGGCGTAGATCTCAGCCTCACAACTGGAGCTGAGAACAGAAGAAGAGCGTGTAGAACGCCAAGAAACTGAGCCGGAGCCAAGGCTGAAGGTGTAACCCTGAGACGACCGCTGAGTAGCCTGGTCGTCCGCCCAAGAAGCGTCTGAGTGTCCAGTAAGTACAACTCGGTCTCGCCCTCCAAGCACTAGCCCCATGCCCGACGTACTGCACAAGTAGCGCAACACCCTCTTAGCGGCATCCATGTGCTCCTTCCTGTGACGGCCAGGAGCGACATAGCGTGCAAGGATGCTAAGAGGGTATGCAAGGTCAGGTCGAGTGCAGGTCATCAGGTACATGAGGCAGCCCACAAGCTCTGGATACGGGCCACTCGGCTCTACGGACTCATCCGAAGGCAGAGCTGAGAGCGAGTGACCGGTAGGCAGAGGAGTGGACTGAGGCGAGGAGTACGTGAAGCGGAAGCGCTGAAGGATCTGCTGCACCATGTGTGACTGAGTCAAGGTGATGGAACAGGTAGGGGAGAGTGAGGCGGCCTAGCGTAGCAGAAGCGGGTGAGGAGTAGCGGGCAACTACAGCGGTGTAGAGGTCCTTAGCAGTCTTGCACTGGCCGAAGTGCTCGCGCTCGTCTAGCGGCAGGGAGTTGCGAATAGCAAAGCGAGCGTGCGCATCACGAGTCTGCCACTGAGAGCGTAGAGTGCTGTCAGCAGACGTGTCAGGGGCAGTAGCATGGCCTAGGGCGTGGTCGTACAGCGAGATGTCTTCCTTGGCAGTGAGCTGTAGGAACAGGTGCAGGTCATCTAGCCAGGTTTCGAACTTCACCGGACGGCCCTCGGCATCGAAAGCTAGAACGGGAGGACTAGCCATAGTGACAGTAGTAGGAGGAGGAACTAGGCCGCTGGAAAGGTGTGCGTAGGGTCAACGGGACCGGCGGGGCCGCTAGGTAAGGCGCGGGCGGGGTCGACTGTCCGTAGTGGCACACGAGCGGCAGGAGTAGGGAGCGTGGCAGCAGGAGCTGCAACGGCGCACTGGTGGCAGCTGCAGTGGCAGCAGTGTGCGCGGTAGGTAGCGTAGGGGCAGCGGCGGCGCACGGGCAGCGGCGGCGCACGGGCGGCAGCAGTGCACGTGCGGCGACGGCAGGAGGCGGCGGTGCGCAAGCAGCAGCGGAAGCAGCGCACGGGCGGCAGCTGCGTATGCGCACGTGCGGCAGTGGCAGCGGCGCACGGGCGGCTGCGGGCAGCGGGGCGTGCGCGAGCAGGCGACGGGCGGCTGCGGGGCGTGCGCGAGCAGGCGACGGGCGGCTGCGGGGCGTGCGCGAGCAGGCGACGGGCGGCTGCGGGGCGTGCGCGAGCAGGCGACGGGCGGCTGCGGACGGGCGGCCTCTGCGACGGCGGGCTGCGGGCAGCGGGGCGTGCGCGAGCAGGCGACGGGCGGCTGCGGGGCGTGCGCGAGCAGGCGACGGGCGGCTGCGGGGCGTGCGCGAGCAGGCGACGGGCGGCTGCGGGGCGTGCGCGAGCAGGCGACGGGCGGCTGCGGACGGGCGGCCTCTGCGACGGCGGGCTGCGGGCAGCGGGGCGTGCGCGAGCAGGCGACGGGCGGCTGCGGGGCGTGCGCGAGCAGGCGACGGGCGGCTGCGGGGCGTGCGCGAGCAGGCGACGGGCGGCTGCGGACGGGCGGCCTCTGCGACGGCGGGCTGCGGGCCTGCGGGGCGTGCGCGAGCAGGCGACGGGCGGCTGCAGCAGCGGGTGCGTCAGCGTGGCGCACAGGGCAGCGGCGGGCAGTGCGCGAGGCTACGAGGCGCACGGGCAGCAGCGCAAAGGCGCGCGGGCAGCGGGGAGGCAGCGTGACGGGCCGCGCGCGAAGAAAATAAAGCGCGCGCGGGCAGCTGGCGGGGCGCACGCGTGAAAACGGCCGCGCGCGAGCGGCTAGTACGGCGCGCGCGGTAAAAAAAAAAAAGGAAAGCCACGCGCGGGCGGCTAGCGAGCTGCGTGCGCGTGGTAGGTAGGTAAGGAGCGCTCTAGGACGCGCAGGCGCACGAGGCGCACAGTAGGTAGGTAGGTAGGTAGGTAGGTAGGTAGGTAGGTGGGCCCTAAGAACAGTCCTAGCGACGGACCTGCTCTGAAACCATGTCAGTAATAACGGACTGGAATGGTGAACTAGAAAGGATTGTGAGTACAAATATGAAACCCTAATGTTGTGACCCCCCTATAGGCTAACCCACTACAGCCTACACAAACACAACACATATAATGTTTGACAGATAAACAACTTCGCCTTTAATCGCCTTCAATCGCCGACTTCGACGACACTCGTAACACTCCTGATTTCACGGCCAGAGGTTTTCAGGACGGTTCCATTCCGACTCTACTAGCGACAAACCCATCCACTCGACCCGCCCACGACAACTGCATTGATTTCAACCACGTCAGGTGCTGCCAGTTGCAACTGCTGCAGATACTGCACGATTCTGGCGACGTGAAGACAAAAAGCTTCAGTTCGAGTACTTGGCAACTTTGGTTTCGGTTTCTGGTCTACTTCTGCGAGTTCGCCCTCGAAGATTTTATGGGCACGTAATACCTGGTTTCGTCATCAGAATTTCCACACCGACGCAACTTCACCCGGCATTCTTCGCTCAACGGCTTTCTTCGTGGGACTTAACACCTGGATTTTTGTGTGTTTTCATCTCGGCGCAGCTGCGGGAACTTTTCTGGTGCCATTTTCTTGGAGGGGGGGAGAAAGTGCTTTGCACTGTTTTCTTCCTTGGCGTTTTCTTGGTCCTTTTCTGACTTTGTCAGGTTGCGTCAGCACGACGGACGATTGCGATCGCACCGACACAATCTACGGTTCCTGCTCAATCGCGTTTGAATTCGCGTCAGCTGGTTCCCTCCACATCCGCGTCACCGTCAACCGTCAGATCGACATTTGAAATCATCAGCGGTCAACGCGAGCTCTGACCGTCCGATCAACATCTGCTCGATCAACGGCTCTGTTTCCAACCTTCAATTCGAATTGGTCCACTTCATCTTCGACCGTCAGATCGAGACCTGACTACATCAACGGCCTACATTCCAACTTTTTCAAAAATATCGCCCAAGGGATTTCAGCCGTCGGATTCAGCTGAAAGGGAGATCAACGGCGTACTCATTACGGAAGGCTTCGGTCTACATACAGGGAGGGCTTATTTGGAAGGTGGGAGAGTGTAAGGAATTAGAATTCCTTACTGTAGTAAGTTGTTAGCGAGGACATCCCGAGGGTGTCGCGACGAACCTGCGATGCCTATTTCGTCGCACCGAACCACCCCCGAGTCGGCCTCCGCTCCAATCGTGGCCATCACCGAGCCATCCCATCCCGAACCCCCCGCCTAGCTAGGTTTTCCCCTATTTAGGCCTCGCTACTTCATTGTTCAATCATTCTGTAATTTCTCATTCTCGTTATTCGATATCCGCGCACTCTGACAAGTTCATTCATAACAAATTTCTTGTAAACTTTGGGTGATAGCGAGCGCACACAATTTGGATGTTGAATATAAACATTTCAAGAGGTTTCCTTTTTGTACCTCCATTCATTGGAACCGTACAACACATGATCTTATTATGTACAGGGGCAACTCATTCCTAATGGTGGCCGTTTATCTGCCACCAGAGCTGCAATTTTTGCAGCATACAAATCGAACAACACGCCTGTCTAAATGTTCACCTAAAGTGGCAACCAAGCGAGGCAAAACCTGCCACGTAGGTGCCAAGAGCACACCCACAGCAACACAACCCCGCCAAGGCCACCCACAGCAGCAGCCTCTGCTCATGCAGCCATCGCCTCACTGCCACCACCAGCGGCCGCAGCAGCAGAGCACGCAGCATCCAGGGAGACAGCTCCTCCAGCTCCCCCAGCTCCCCCAGCTCCACCAGCTCTCTCAATTGCCCCTTGCTGCCTACACACCCATCCAACTCCTCTGCAGTCACTGCACCACATCCTATGGCCCTAGTCACGCATCTTATGTTTGCAAGCAACGCTGCAGAGTTATCTAACTGCTGCGGCCAGTCAACCCCACCATGTGGCAACAGTCACTCGATGCCTCCGCACCACCCTGCTGAATCTGCCCCTCCTTATGCTGGAGCAACCGCTGCCTCTGAACCTGCCTATGTGTCTGCTGCTGTTATGCTGCTGATGCTGCTCTTCTTGCTGGTCTGGGAACTGCAGCGGAAGCAACTCCGAGGTTGACTGAGTGCCGAGCGGGCAGGTACTGTGGCCACGGGTGGCGCCGCGCGCGGGTTTTCCGGGAGGACTGTGCGATGAGATCTGCCATGGAACGAGCACCGGCACACACACCTCCCTCTTCCATCACCGCACCTCCTTCTTCCACCACCATGGCACCAGCTGCTGCCCCACGTGCCCCCCCCTCAGCCGCTGCCGCTGGTGCTGCCACCAGAGGCGGAAGCACCACCTCCGCTGCTGCCGGAGCAGCAGCAGGGGCAACCGCTCGAGCAGCAGGGACGGGCAGAGGGGCTAGACACGGCCCAGCGGCCACACGTGGGCTGGGTGCAGCCCTGGTAGAGGCAGTGGGCAAAGGGGGCTCCAACATGCGGTCTGCTATAGGAACACCGGCCTCTACCGCACTGGCCTCTACCGCACCAGCCTCTACCGCACCAGCCTCTACCGCACCGACCTTTACCACACCGGCCTCTACCGCACCGACCTTTACCACACCGGCCTCTACCGCACCGGCCTCTACCGCACCGGCCTCTACCGCACCGGCCTCTACTGCAACATCCTGCGGCATGGGCAATATCCTAACCCTTCCCTCCTCTTGGCCTACCACACACAGCGCAGCTGGCGGCCCAGCAGCAGGACCACCAAACGCACCGTCTGCTGCATCAGCATTGGCAGCACCAGTGGCATCAGCAGCAACAGCAGCAGCAGCAGCAATGAGCAGGGTGGTGTGTCATGCGAGCCCCGTGTCTGTCCACGCTGAAATACCTTGTGACATCTGCCACACACAGAACAGAGGAGAGGGCAACACACACACGCACGCACGAACGCACGCACGCACGCACGCACGCGCGCGCGCGCGCGCACACACACACGTGTGCACACACACACAAATGCTCACACACACACACACACACACAAACACACACACACACACACACACACACACACACCCACCCACTTGCATTCGCAGAAAGCACGCGCGCGCACACACACACACACGCACACACACACGCACACACACACGCACGCACGCGCGCGCGTGCACACACACTCACATACACACACACACAGCACACATCAGGCACATACACACACACGCACCCGCGTGCAGACAAACACGAAGACACAAGCACAGCCAATCAGCGACTGTCAAGGCGTATAAGGGAGAAGCATAGGCTTCTCGGGAACACAGCAGAGGCGTGGAAAAAGAGGCGAGGAAAAAGAGGCGTGGAAAAAGAGGCGTGGAAAAAGAGGTGTGGAAAAAGAGGCGTGGAAAAAGAGGCGTGGAAAAAGTGAGCCGGGCAAAAAGGTCGCAACAGATGAGAATAAGCGGTTGGAAGGAACGCATGAACGGTGGAGGGCGGTGGTGGCTGGCTAGCGCGGTGTACCTGCAACGGCGCTGAGGTCCACGTGTGGATCCAGACCCCAGCCATCAAACGCTATAGGTGTTGCTGCTACGGGTGTTGCTGCTATGGGTGTTGCTGCTACGGGTGTTGCTGCTACGGGTGTTGCTGCTACCATGCCCTCATGCTGATCCCTAGACAACCCTCGCGCACCCATGAGACAATCCTCATCACCCACACTGCCACTGGCCTGATTCAGAAAGACAGAGAGGAGTAAGGTGCGGAACAGTCAAGAAATGCATGAGGCGGAACGGCAGAAAGAAACAAATAAAGACTGGAAAAGGGATTTTTTTTTTTTTAGAAGTCGAACTCAGCAGTCGCAATACCTCCGCGAGAAGCAACTTTGCGTGAGGCGCAGCAGGGCGCGCGCTCAGATTCCGTGACGGGGTACCGCTGCTCCAACCGCCGGTGCTCGCCAGCCGCACTCCGCTGCTGCCACCCGCGTTGAGCGCCTGCATGCGCCGGCCGTGCATGACGGCACCAGCGGCGCGCACAGGCCTCGCCCTCGTCCGGCCCGATGCTCTCGCACGTGTGCCGCCCAGGGGAGCGGCGGCGAGGGGAGCGGCGGCGAGGGGAGCGGCAGTGAGGGGAGCGGTAGTGAGGGGAGCGACAAAGAGGGGAACGAAGGCAAGAGGAGCGGCTGCAAGGGGAACGACGGCGAAGGGAACAGCGGCGAGCGGTGCGAAGCCTCTCCCTGCTGCTGCTGCTGCTGCGGCGGCACCCGCCCGCGCTGCGAGGGCCTCTGCGAAGGTGGTTGCGCGCGCTGGTTGCAGGGGCGCTGGTTGCAGGGGCGCTGGTTGCAGGGGCGCTGGTTGCAGGGGCGCTGGCCGGATGGGCGCAGGCGCCGCTGGTCTCGAGGGTACTGCCGATGCGGCGGTTGCTCTGGGTGCTCTCCGCTCTGCCACTCCAAGCACTGCGCCAGCAGGCGCGAAACCACCTGGCGCCGCCGTCGCACGCGCACCAGGCGCACCCAATGCAGCAAAAGCGTCGGGAGCGGGGGGAGTGGCGGGGAGGGCGGCGTGACTGTCGTCGATGAAGAAGCCCTCGGGGAGATCAAGTGGCGGCAGCTCCTCGTACAACCACTCGTCATCCTCTGCCACGTGGCTCTCCTCATGCTCCGCTATGTGGCCCCCCGCCGCCCCCGCAGCCGACACAGCTTGCCGAGAAATGTTCTCCCGGAATGTGTCCGGATGCACGTCACTATGAGGCACGGCAACGGGCACAATCGGCGCGGCGGCAAGGTGGAAGGGCGGGAGGTCGGCCTCCTCGAGCCCCAGAAGGTCCATCAGCTGCGCAGCAGGCGGCGCGCTCGCAACAGGCGGCGCGCGCGCAGCAGGCGGCTGGTTGTTGTTGAACAAGCGGCACAGCACGTAGCCCGCCACTGCCGCGGGCTCCAGCCGGTACTCGTACATCATCCAGTCCGTCCGCTTGCCACGTGGCGCCCTCCCCAGGTGGAACACGAGCGTCTTCTTGAACCCTATTTGTCGCGACGTGCGCGAGCTGAGCACGGCCTTGTCCTTGCCCGTCGACTTCCAGTACCCTCTCTCAGTGGCGCGATCCCAGCGCGAGCCGTTCGGATATTTCTTCTCGAGCACGCAGAAGAAGTACCACTCGCCGGCCTCGAGGGGCGACTGGCTGGGCAGGCCCCACGGCTCGTAGCGGAGAATGTCGACCTCAGCGATCAGCCCGTCGTCGCCGTCGTCGTCGTCCGCGCGGCGGCCTTCCGCTGCCTCCACCTTGCGCCGCAGGTAGCCTTGGATCAGCTCCTCGTCCGTCGGGCGGAAGCCGAATCCCGGCGGTAACCGCCGCAATGCCGCCATTTTGTGCTGTTTGCGCTACTTTTTGGCGAAGCTGCTGAATGCGGCTGCTGGAAGCCCGAAAGTGTAGTGACTGGGAGAGATCGTGGGAGCGCAACAAGGAACGTTGTTAGATGTTAGATGTTAGATGTTAGACGTTAGATGTTAGATGTTAGATGTTAGATGTTAGATGTTAGACGCAGGAGGACCGAACGACTGGGGAAATGCGTGTCTGTCAATCCGTCCAAGCAAGCCGAATCCCGGTGGTAACCACACCAATTTGTACGGTTTTGGGACTATTTCACAATGCTAACTCCAGTTGGAAGGAAATTTGTAGGGAAAGGAGGGGCATACCGAGAAATCAAAGAGCTTTGGACGAGAAGCTCCTCGTTCCGCGGAACCGGGGCGGAAGCCGAATCCCGGCGGTAACCGCCGGCGCAATGCCGCCACCTTCTACTGTTCTACTGACGATGCTAAATCTAGCTGCTGGAAGCTAAAAAATGTAGTGACTGCGAGAGATCGTGGGAGCGCAACAAAGAACGTTGGTCGATTATTGTTAGACACAGCTGGTGACTGAACAACTCGGGAAATGCGTGTGTTGATCCGTCGAAGCAAAGAATGATGGGCGGCTGGCTTATGGCGATGCCTGGCGGAGGGAGGGTGGAGCGGAGCAGAAGAATGCGGCAGCGCAGAGGCACGGGTAGGCACGGGGTAGGGGAGGAGATCGAAGAGGGGGGAATGAGCGAGGGGCGGCGGGAAGTCATGCAAAAGGGCAGGGAGGGAGGGGAGGCTCGAGCAGAGAGCTCCGCTTTCTGGGGAAGGAAGTCGGTGAAAGCACGGAGCAAAGGGAGAGGCGGAAGCCGACCGGAGAATGGCGGTTGATCACCTTCCTTCCGTGGGATCTCGCACGAGCGCAATGCCGCAAAGCAAAAATGTTGCCCTTTCCAATTGGCCCTTGATTTGATCAGGACCACGGAAACTTCGATACTCCTCTGTCGATTGGTCTGGGGTCCCAAAATTTCGGCTCAAATAACGGCGGCAAACTTCGGTAGCGGAAACGGCACGGAAACAGGGGAGAAGCCACGAACGGCAAATTTCCGTGATCAGTCATGCTTTCGCTAAGTGCTAGCGCGAAGTGTCAGTTACACTTTAGCGACCAAAACTTTTTAACTCGTAACATCACGACGCGTTTTTTTTTCTGGAAATTAGACTTAGTTATATTTAAGTAAAAATCATCAGATTCCTTTCTCTGCGTGTGAATACACCACGCATCACTGTTCTCAGGGCGGGGGCAGCGCGTTCATTTTCTTGGCTTAGCCCGAAACAGTTACCAGATTCAGCGGTTTGTAACCCTGATTTAGAGTAACGAGTGGACACGATGGAGTATACAGTGGATGAACGGTGGCTGTTTTCCGTGCCGTCAACCGAACAGAACACGTTCCCACGACGGCCGCGAACAACACGCGCATCATTCGAGAATGCCTGTGTGCAGGTCAGCGAAACCGCACCACGAGTTCGTCAAGCGCGTACGACCCTCGCAAATTCATGGGTTCACAAATACAGCTTCGTACTGCTCCCCGTCACCAGATCCACTAGCACAGGGTTACCTCATTGGGTGGGCGGTTGGGCAAAAGTGTGGCGGGACCTGTGCCTAATTCTGGACGCGCGTGTCCCACCTGGGACACAAACTAAGCGCGGTGCAAAAATGCTACAGTATTTTCCTGATTCGACGGGCGTCAAAATTTTGGAAAAGTGGAGAAAATGAACGCGCTGCCCACGCCCTCATGGGCTCGATCATTCCTCGCACATTACCAACTAACGGTGTTCGCCAACCTGCATGCTACCAGTAATACTTTTAGAGATGACAATTCTACCATCTGTTTGCACTAGTGTCTTTCATGGGGAGTGAATTCAATTCCTATTTCGCAAAAATTCCTCTGCTAGCCTTTGGCTACCTTTGAAAGAATGAGCTTCAACCCTCGAAGATCTGAGATAGAACAGGAGGTGCCGTTTGTGTGATATTATTGAGAGGAATGAAGAAATCTTGAGCATAGACTTCCTTCACAAGCTCATATGCTTCCTGCACCAGGAAAACACAAAAAGGTCAACCAGGCAGCGCCAAAAAAAAACAAACATACATACATACATACAAACAAAGAAAGGAACCAACAAAACAAAACAAACAGTACAGGCAAGATTTCGGGACTCAGAAGCTCCAGGATTGTACACCAGCCGCTAACCTTGGTGTATTTCTTGACAAGCTTGGTGTCGGCGCGGGTCTGGTGCGCGTTGACGCCGAAGTTGAAGATGTCGAGATGGTCGCCTCCGAATCGGTTCACCACATACTTGGCATCCTCCTCCAGACTCTCAAACCGCCCCACAAAGTCGTACTTTATCATCTGCATGAAACACACGTCAACCTGCCAGCAGTGCAGCCAGAGAAGCAGCATAGGCAGAGAAGCAGCATAGGCAGAGAAGCAGCAGCCAAGGCAGGGTGGGCAGAGGCAGCACAGCACACAGGCAGCGAGGCAGCACAGGCAAGGCAGAGACAGGAGAGAGGCGACAGCAGCGCAGAGAAGAGAGTTCAGGAGTGGCAGATGAGAGGCAGGCAAAGCGAGGTTATGATGCACGCTCATGCGGCTGCCCGGCATGCTCTGTGAGCATGCACACCTGCCATCACAAGCCCACCTGCCATCACAAGCACACCTGCCATCACAAGCCCACCTGAGAGGCGATGTGGCGGTCCATCTTCCAGCGGAAGTTCTTCTTCATGAGGGCCACGAGGCACAGGCTCTGTGAGCACACAGCCCATTTCCCAACGTAAACGTTGCCATCACAAGCAATCTGTCACTACAAGCACACCTGCGGCGCGATGTGGCGGTCCATCTTCCAGCGGAAGTTCTTCTTCATGAGCGCCACGAGGCGCATGAAGTCAGGGAACGACACCAGGTCGTCCTCGTCCTTTAGCAGCTCAAACTGCGGCCGCACAAACCGGAAGAAACGCTGCCGTGCCATGGGGGGTGATTGGGGCAATGGGAAGAAAAGGCAGTTGCAAGGTTTGTATGAGATATGTGTGTCTCAACAGAGGCCGTCCTCGTCCTTCAGCAGCTCAAACTGTGGCCGCACGAACCGGAAGAAACACTGCCATGTCATGGGGAGGCAACCGCTAACCTCATTCCTCACTCACACTCACCTCGTTCCAGTACTCTCTGGACCCCGGGCCCGTCTTGCTGTTAGGCGTGTCAGTGACCTCCAGCTTGTTGGTGTAGGCCTCGTCTCATTGGCAGCACCAGACACGCACACTCAACAAGACCCACCTCATTCCAATACTCCCTCCACCCGGCATGCACCATGTGCCTCACCTCGTGCCTCACCTCGTGCCTCACCTCGTGCCTCACCTCGTGCCTCACCTCGTGCCTCACCTCGTTCCTCACCTCGTGCCTCACCTCGTTCCTCACCTCGTGCCTCACCTCGTTCCTCACCTCGTGCCTCACCTCGTTCCTCACCTCGTGCCTCACCTCGTGCCTCACCTCGTTCCTCACCTCGTGCCTCACCTCGTGCCTCACCTCGTGCCTCACCTCGTGCCTCACCTCGTGCCTCACCTCGTTCCTCACCTCGTTCCTCACCTCGTGCCTCACCTCGTTCCTCACCTCGTGCCTCACCTCGTTCCTCACCTCGTGCCTCACCTCGTTCCTCACCTCGTGCCTCACCTCGTGCCTCACCTCGTGCCTCACCTCGTTCCTCACCTCGTGCCTCACCTCGTTCCTCACCTCGTGCCTCACCTCGTTCCTCACCTCGTGCCTCACCTCGTTCCTCACCTCGTGCCTCACCTCGTTCCTCACCTCGTGCCTCACCTCGTGCCTCACCTCGTGCCTCACCTCGTTCCTCACCTCGTGCCTCACCTCGTTCCTCACCTCGTGCCTCACCTCGTGCCTCACCTCGTTCCTCACCTCGTGCCTCACCTCGTGCCTCACCTCGTTCCTCACCTCGTGCCTCACCTCGTGCCTCACCTCGTGCCTCACCTCGTGCCTCACCTCGTGCCTCACCTCGTGCCTCACCTCGTGCCTCACCTCGTGCCTCACCTCGTGCCTCACCTCGTGCCTCACCTCGTGCCTCACCTCGTTCCTTACCTCGTTCCTTACCTCGTTCCTCACCTCGTGCCTCACCTCGTTCCTCACCTCGTTCCTCACCTCGTTCCTCACCTCGTTCCTCACCTCATTCCAGTACTCTCTTGACCCCACGCCCGTCTTGCTGTTGGGCATGTCGGTGGCGACCAGCTTGTTGGAGACGGCTGAGAGCACCCAACTGGAGTCCGGGTACTCAAAAAGACTCACCTCGTTCCAGTACTCTCTTGACCCCGGGCCCGTCTTGTTGTTGGGTGTGTCTGTGACCACGAGCTTGTTGGAGTAGGCGGAGAGGGCACGCGAGAAGGGGTTGCGCACAAAGGTGAAACGGAAGAAGTCTGGTCGCGTCACCAGACGGACCTGTACGAGGGGAGGCGGGGAGGGGGGGAAGACGGGAGAGGAAAGGGAGCAGGATGGGGGAAAGGCATGGGAAGCGGAAAAAGGTATGCGAGAAGGGGTTGCGCACAAAGGTGAAGCAGAAGAAGTCAGGGCGCGTCACCAGGCGGACCTGCAGAGAGGGGGAGGGGGAGAGGGGAAGGGCAAGGAGGTGCAGATGGGGAAACAGCATGAAAAGTGATGAGCTCATGGAACTTGCGCATTGAAAGTGATGCCGCAGGGTGACAAGAGAAGCTGAGAGGACGGGGGTGGGTAAAGAGTGGGGGCACAGCCAGAAGTTGGATTGAGGAAAGATGGACAGTGGGTGCGAGTTGAATTGACAGTGAGGGTTGCGGATAATTGCAAAGCAGAAGAATCACCGTCAACTTGCGCTCTGCACTCACCGCTTCCTTCTCTGTGAAGTGGCGGCCCAGCAGGTGCCAGCCGGCCTTGTCCACATCGAGGGCGAGGATGGGGTCAGTCGGGTTGGGCTGGCCCAGCATGGCGCGCAGCCACATGAGCCACGAGTTGGCTGCTACCTTGGGCATTGTGCACACCACTAGCTTTAGCTTCTCTGCAGGAGCAACAGGGGACAGACACCAGATGCAATGCGTGGGAGAGAGAGTCGGGAGGACAATTGAGCGTGGTGCATGGAGCACCAAAGGCATCGTGCACAGCACCAGCTTGAGCTTCTCTGGTGCGAGCAGTGGGACACACGCAATGCAATGCAATGCAGGGGCAGAGTCGGGAAGGGAAGAGAGTGAATTGAGCACGTTGGGCAAGGTGCACGCCACTAGCTTCTCTGGTGGGGCAGGGCAGACCCGATGCATGCAATGCATGAGGGGAGGCGGGAAGGGGGAACGAATGGGCATGGCCCGTGGATCAGCTGGAGCAAGGTGGAGGCCACGTGGTTTGGCTTCTCTGGTGAGTAGTTACCATGAAGAAAGGGGGGTTGGGGGACGGGAGGAATGAAGCGTGAGCAAGAGAGGGCGTGGGGCACAGTGCATATGATCAGCACCGCGAGGCACATGCGATGCATGCGGTGGGTGGCATGGATTAGACACAGAGCGTGGCACTACCACTCAGTTCTTTGGTGGGAACCAACGTGACGGACGGAAGGAGGGGGGCACGGGGGTTGGGGACGGCTGGGAGAAGGATGGGGGAAAGGGGAGCGTGAGGGGATCACCTCACTGCCATCTGTGCAGCGAGCTAAACCTGAACAGCCCCCTGCACTGGAGGAACCTCAAAAATCATAAACCTCTCGCGTTGTTCCTCCTGCACACCACGCCAGATGTGCATCTTCTCGCACCTGTGCTTCTGCCCTCACCTTCCACCTGTGTGAACCACGACCACCGGTGGCGAATGATGGGCGGCAACCTCTCCGTCTCGCAGATGGACGGTAGCACCTGGCAGCACATGGGGGGGGGGTTTGAGCAAAGGCGAGGGGGGAGAGCACAGAGAGCAGGTGATGTGCAGAGGGAGCGGGGGATGCGCACAGGGGGGGGGATGGGTTGCAGAGATTTAAAGGTTAGCTGAAAGGATCGAGTGGGTAGTGGTGCTTAGGGCTTTAAGTGCAGCAGAGCAAGATGGAGGAGGGATGGGATGGGAGACAATCTGCAATGAGATCAGATGGACAAGTACATGGCAGACAGGAGGCGAATGGGGAAAGAGGGTAAAGCAACACAACGGGAGAGAAGCAGGATGGGTGGGCGGCAGGAGGGTCAGGGAGGGCAGCGGCACCTGGAAGGCGGGGGAGCGGCACCTGGAAGGCGGGGGAGCGGCACCTGGAAGGCGGGGGAGCGGCACCTGGAAGGCGGGGGAGCGGCGGGCGCCCTGGGCGAGGATGAAGCGCGGCTCGATGGCCCAGCGGTGGATGGGCACCACCGCCCTCGCGAAGCTCAACGCGACCAGCTCCGCTGCCTGGCGTGGGGGGCGAGCAGGAGACAGGGGGGGAGGGGAGGGTGGGGGTACCGTAACGCGAGGGAGTAGGGTTGGAGTGGGGGGGTTGGTGCACGGGGAAAAGAGGGATGCGGGATTGGGTGCAACACGGGAGAGATGGGGAGTCGATTGACGCAAGCACATGCACAGGCTGGCTGAGAGGAGAGGAAGACGGGGGAGGAGGGGCAGAGGGCAGGAGGAAGACGGGGGAGGAGGGGCAGAGGGCAGGAGGAAGACGGGGGAGGAGGGGCAGAGGGCAGGAGGAAGACGGGGGAGGAGGGGCAGAGGGCAGGAGGAAGACGGGGGAGGAGGGGCAGAGGGCAGGAGGAAGACGGGGGAGGAGGGGCAGAGGGCAGGAGGAAGACGGGGGAGGAGGGGCAGAGGACCGGAGGAAAACAGTAGAGGGAGGACAACAGAACAGCAGAGTTGTGGGTGGAGGTGGTGGGGAGCGGTTGAGGGGTGAGGGGTGAGTGTAGGGTCGAGGAGCACTGCCATGTGTGGTGAGTACAAGCGTATGGGGGTGGCGCAATGTGGTGCTGCTTTAGAGTAAGAAGTTATGGGTTCACAATGCACCCATACACTCATGAACTCATCCACACATTCACCCATGCACTCATGCACCCTTGCGCCCATGCACTCACACACGCACTCAACCATGCACTGGCATGTGTTCCCACCTGCAGCTGGGCGCACTTGATGCTGCTCCCGCCCACTTCACTCCCCAGCACACCCTTCCCCTCCGCCAACTCTCTCCTCCCCTCCTCCTGACACGTGCCGAGCCGCGATTGGCTGGCCTTGAGCACGAGCGGGCGGCGCAGCTCACTGAAGAAGTCCCCAACAGCCGTGACGTCGGGGGCGGCACGGGCGGCGAGGGCGAAGGCCACATGGGGGTCGTGCAGGAAGGCCATGGTGATGCGGCGCATGGCGCACAGAGGGGCTGATGAGTTGGCCATTCGGGGACAGCCGGAACAGACGGTGCCAGCAGGGGGGCTCTGGTGGTGAAGGGAAAGGGATGAGAAGGAAGGCCACGTGAGAATCACGCAGGAAGGCCATGGTGACGCGGCGCATGGCGCACAGGGGGGCGGTCGATTGGCCATACAAGGGTAGCCGGAGCAGGGGGCACCAGCAGGGGGGTGCTGGTGGTGAAGGGGAGGGAGGAGGGGCGAAGGCGATGTGGAATGAGTGTGGATCGGCCATGGTGATGCAGCGCACGGCCATGGTGATGCAGCGCACGGCCATGGTGATGCAGCGCACGGCCATGGTGATGCAGCGCACGGCCATGGTGATGCAGCGCACGGCGCATAGCGCACAGCGGGGTCATGCATGCGTGTGGGTGGGCGTGTGTGGTTGGGCAGGTGAAGGGGAAGGTGCCACGCAAGGTGAGGGGAGAGAGGAGAAGGAAGGTGGGGGGTGGAGGGAGGAGGGCCTACCACTTTGTGATAGATCAGTAGCCTTGCACAGGCAGCCATAACAGCAGTGCAAGCCGGTGGCCTTACACACCGCAGTGCAAGCTGGTGGGCTTACACACTGCAGTGCAAGCCGGTGGGCTTACACACTGCAGTGCAAGCCGGTGGGCTTACACACATGCAGTGGGGTGTGCGGACAGGCAGGCAGGCACACTGTCCACCATACGAGATAGAGTGCCATGCCATGCACTCACTGGCATGCATACAGTGGGCCATGGCAATGCAGGCTCATTGACACATACCGAGACATAGATGGCCTTGGAGAGCTTGAGCGCGTTCAGGTCCTCCTGCATGACCAGCGCGCCCACTGCCGTGGAGGGGCGCAGGCGCCCCAGACATGCGTCCACGTGCTTGTCGTACGCGCAGCCGTCCAGATTCAGTGCTCCGGAAGCCTGCTGGGGTGGGGGAAGGAAGGTAGTCAGAGAGGTAGAGGCAGGTGAAGGCGGAGAGGTGGAGAGGCGGAGAGGCGGAGGGGCGGAGAAGCGAGCCGGCAGATGGAAAGTTAAATAAAAAAGGACGGCGTGCAATGTGGGGCAGGGGAGGAGTGAATGAGGCGAGTGAATTAGAGGAGTGAATTAGAGGAGTGAGTAGAGGACGCAGGCACAGGAAATGTTGAAATAGCATACCTGGGACTGGGCCGAGGGGGAGAGGTAGCGGCGGAAGGGCAGGGGGGTGCGCTTGGTCTTTCTCCTGCTGTCTCGTGGGCACTCTTTCAGCATCACCTGCAACGGAGCTCGGTGGCAAGGGGTGTTGAGGGATGCAGAGGAATGAGGAGGCATGGCGTACAATTGTGCGGAAGGAGTTTCACAATAAGAAAAGGGGTGAGTGACGGGTAAGAGTACAGATATTGTGCTCTTTTTGCCAATCATCACCGCCCACCACAGCCCACCACAGCCCACCACAGCCCACCACAGCCCACCACAGCCCACCACAGCCCACCACAGCCCACCACAGCCCACCACAGCCCACCACAGCCCACCACAGCCCACCACAGCCCACCACAGCCCACCACAGCCCACCACAGCCCACGGCAGGGCACCACAGCCCACCACAGCGTGCCAACGGCTGACCTGCTGTGGCGCGGTCAGCCTGTTCGTGAGGTCGCTGCTGGCCATGCGCACGTTGCGCACCCACACGTCGCGCCTGTCCTGCTGGCCATGCGCACGTCTGCTTTCACCCATCATTACAGCCGCTCACCTGCTGTGGCGCGGGCAGCCTGTTCTTGAGGTCGCTGCTGGCCACGCGCACGTCGCGCACCCACACGTCGCGCGCCTCTCCGCTCACCGCGCTGTCCGCCACGTCCCCCGGGGGGGTGGCCAAGCTGCTGGCGGGGCGGAAGAGGTGGCGGAAGGTGGTGGCGGGCAGGTGGCGGTCGGCGGGCCACACGGCGAGCGTGGGCGCGCTGGTGAGCGCCGTCAGCGCGTACGCCGCGCACACCGCGTGCACGCGTTGCACCAGCGCGCCCTGGGGGGAGAGGGGAAGGGGGATGGGGGGAAGGGTGGGAGAGGTGGGGAAAAAGGGGGAGAGGTGGGGAGAGAGGGGGGGGAGGTGGGGAGGCAGGGGGGAGAGTGCGCGTGAGTGTGTGCTGCTAAAGCGAAGCCCGCATGGCCCTACACCGCGTGCACGCACCGTCACAGTGAGCCCCGGGTGGTTGGGGAGATGGGGGAAAGGGGAAAACGGAATATAAGAAGGGGTGCTACATGGATGAGAGATGGATGAGAAGCACACATGCCACGACAGCATTGGCGCCCATCCGTACACCCTCAGTCTCTCTCTCCTCGCTGTTGCAAGCGCTATGTTCTCCGCTCTGAGACAGCGCAACCTCGGGCAGCTTGCGCGCCTTCACATCACATCACAGCACCGCTGTGTCAACTGCCCACACAGAATAGAACCTTTTCGGCCACCACGTTCACTCAGCCGCCCATATTCAACGAGCGGTTGATAAGGCCATGCTGTTGCCACTGCGTCTGCCAGCTTCGTTGGTCCCATTCTTTGACCTTCGCACATTCGTCCATACCTTGCTCCATGGAGTTCCAGCGTATCTTCCTCCAAGGCACTCGTACGTTCGTACGTATCTTACTCCAAGGCACTTGTACGTTCGTACGTACCCTTACTCCAAGGCACTCGTACGTTCGTACGTATCTTACTCCATGGCATTCGTACGTTCGTACGTATCTTACTCCACGACATTCATACGTTCATATGTATCTTACTCCATGGCATTCGTACGCTTTCTACTCCATGACATTCGCACGTACCTTCGCATTCATACGCTCCTCATTCCATGGTAGTTATGCGTGTCTTAAACAACTACAATACCCGCCAACCCTTATCACCCACCGAATTCGCATTTAACTTCCCCTTGCGCGAGCTCACTTCGCCCTGCATTCGCTCACCTCGGCCAGCAGGAGCGCCTGCGGTTCAGCGCAGTCGGCGGCGCCGGATCCGCCCTGGCAGCGCCACAGCGACTTCACCTCGCGCTCCTTGTCGTCTTCCGACATCGACTCGACCGCTGCCCTCAGCGACTCCTCCTCCTCTTCCTCCTCTACACCCGAGCTTCTCGTTTGCGACGATAAATTATCCGCGTCAATAGGTGAATCTAGCTCAGCTGATAAGGCCAGCTTAGCAGCAGCTAACTCCCTGCCATTCTCCGCTGCTGCTGCTGCATCAGTCACCTGCTGCTCCTCAATTTTCCCTGCATCGCTCTTAGCCTTCTCAGAATCGCTGCTCGCGCTTTCTGAGACTGAAACTGGTGACTCCAGGTTCCCGGCGTCAGCGGCCTCCTTCATCTCTCGCCGCGCGAGGGACGGAATCTCGAGGATTGGACAGATGCCGGGCTCGCGCGACCACAGGCACGGCACGATGGGCTTTAAGACGAGAACGAGCAGCAGCGCTGCGCCGAGCCCTCTGACTATTCGAAACACGCTACTACTCGAGTGTTTTCTCTTTCCTGTCATGGCTGTAGTAGCTGCTGAGCTCAGTATCGCTTACTGTCAAGCTTGAATTTTGAATGCGTCAACCTTTGGGGCTTCTCAAAGAATAAAACTAATTTAGACCGAGGACCTGAGACCACGTCGAGAGAACGTCGCGAGATCGCTCCCACTTCTTCAGATTCGACCCTCAAGGCTACTAAAACGCACGGGGGGTGGGACTGGGCTCGAATGCTGTGCGCCCTTAGTCCTTCCCCTAACCTGTCTCGGATTCAAAGAGCCCAGTATAAATTACGCGGCGGAATGGCAGTGCAAGCAGCCAGCCAGTCAACTACCTGTGTTGATCGCAAATGAGATTCAGAACCCCAGTCCTGCTCGCCGTGCGCTTCACTGCTCAATCCATTTGCCAGATTTGCAGCTCGTCACTGGTCAGGACCTTTCGCACCCTGACCTGCGACAAAGTCGGTTCGCAAAGGCTAGAGTTGACAAAGGGAAGTCGTCTTGCTCACTGGTTGTTCACGAACGACAGAAAGAACAGGCTGAACGAAAGGTGTGACTCGCGGGAGGCTTGGCTTTGAAAGTTTGGGGGCGGGAGGGTGGGTTTCGCGAGAGAGAAAGCCAGGGGACAATGGGGAGCAGAGGCGTGTGGTTTGTTGGTCCGTTGGGTTTGCGCGAAGGCTCGGGCAGAACCTCCCGCCGTCGAAGGTGATTGGCCGAGGGGATGCCCTAGGGGAAATGTATTCAAGGCTGTGTCTACCTGACAAGGTTGGGAGCGAAAAGGTACGACAAGTTCGGGATTTGGGAGCTCCTGTCGTACCTCGAGTAGCTCTTCTGACACATTCTTCTGTTTTCCCGCTGGTGCCCTCGTTGGTCCTACCAAACATGAGCCTCCAGGCCAGACCAAAAGCAACTGGTCTGAACCGTCATGGACCTCGGTGATAAGTGCGGGTCACCCGTCGTTCGTTTACAGGTCACTGAAAACGATTAAGTACGATGTTGTGCATTCTAGAGCGGTTTGTTCTCATCAGCGTGTACCGGACGTGAGTAGCCACTGGTTGGTTTGGCCTCGGGCGAGGTTCGTCCGAAGTCCCAGGTCGCAGAGGGAGGGAGAGGCAATCAAATTCGCGCGTGCGGCACGGGAGGTAGCGGTGCGCTTGTTTTTCACGGCACAAATGTGAGTCGCAACCCAACCAACCCAACCCCCATTCGCACAACCTCACCAGTTCTGAATTCCTTGCCTCCTATTCCCCCTACATTTTGTGTGGCCCTGCTCTACCTTCGTCCAAAGCGGAATCTTGTAGCCTCAAAGTTATATTCGATTCTGCAGCTGCGAGCGCCGTGAACAAGCGCCTGTGAAGCACGCGCTTGCTTCTGAATTTGCATCCACCACGCTCAACAGACATAGCCGTTCAACAAAAGCACTCTTTTCAGCATACGCACATTATCGCAAACGACCTAGCTGTAAGCTGCCGAGCAACCAAATCCTTTCTCTCTGTGAGCATAATTCCGTCCGTGGAGGGGTGGCACACGCGGCTCACCAATCATGGTGTTCTTCCACAAGCGCAAAACATGCTCAACTGCAGACCGGCCGCGCGCCGCGTCATGGGAGCGGTGCGTGGTGATGGTGCTGCTGCCGCTCATGGTGCTCTACACCGTGAGCCACTGGATGGCCCCCTCGTGCAACCCGAACGTCGCCGTCATGCTCGAGGGCCGATCGCTCGCCGTGGGCGCGAAGAAGCTCTCCCTGGGCTTCTGGCAGGCCACGGACGAATCTGACCGGGGGAACGGCGACGCGCGCTCGAAGCTGTTTCTCGACGAAGACCCGTGGAAATGCGACGCGAGCGATGCGATTGGCGATTGCCCTGTGCGACGAGCCGACGCGGTCTTCGTGGCCGCGGTATGTGGGGATTGGAGGGCTGCTGTGGTCATCATCTCTCGTGTCCCACGGAAATCTTACCACTTTTGAGTATCCTTAAAGGAATACTCCTCTCGTGTCTCACGGGGTTGAGAGAGACTCTGCCCATCCAACGGCGTCGCCCCCTTGTTTTCCTATTGTTTTTCAATGTCATCGCGTTCTTTTAGCTCCGAAAATCACGGGCATCATCGTATGTACGACCTAGCGGCCTCCCTCTTCTGACCCTTCCGTCCCCCATTTCCCCCTCTCTGCGACCCGTCCCCCTCCCTCATTCACTCCGTACCTTGGCGATTCTCCCTCAGGGCTCTGTGTCGCAGCGCGTGCACGCGGTGTGCGCGGCGTACGCGCTGACGGCCGTGACCAACATGCCCACGCTCGCCCTCTGGTCCGCCGACCGCCACCTGCCCGCCACCACCTTCCGCCACCTCTTCCGCCTCGCGCACGACCCCGCGCCTTCCCCCACGTCATCCCGCGCGCGCGGCGAGAGCGGTCGCGAGGGGAGCGTGTGGGTGCAGGACACGCCCGCCGAGGCGGGCATGCTGAGGCGCGCGCTCAAGGGCCGCCGACGGGTACGTTTGGCTGTTTCCGTTACCCTTGCCGTGCCCTGCCGTGCCCTGCGCGCTCAAGGGCCGCCCACGGCTGCGTCGTGCTCTTTGCTCCCGCTCGCCCTTCCCAGTCACTCGTCCTTGCGATGCCCTTCTGTTGACACCCCTCCGCGCACCCTTCCGCCTGTTTCTGTGCGCTTGTTACTTCCCCCCTGTTACTCTCCGCCCGTTACTCTCCGGAGGCTAACCTCCCCGTCCTCCGCATCATCGTCCCGCGTCCGCGCTCCCCGCAAGTCCCTGCCCGCTCCTCTCGACCTCAACCCCTCGCATCCCCCGCATCCCCTTCCCCCGCATCCCCCGCACCCCTTTCCCCCGCATCCGCTTCCCCCGCATCAGGTGGCGTTCGCGCCGTGCAAGAACACGACGGCCGGCCACTCCGCCAGCGGGCTGCCGTTCAAGGTCTTTCTCTCGCCGGCCGTGCGGGAGAAATCCACCGGCCCCCTGCGCGTGGACGCGTGCGCGTTCGAGCGCGAGGTGGACACGTGTCTGGCCCTGATTCGCCCGTCGGCCGCCGTGGCGGCGATGGTGGTGGAGGAGGATCTGGCGCGCGTGGCGGCCTCCAGCGCCGTGCTGGTTGACGTGAGTGTGGAGCGGGGTGGAGTGCGGTGAGGGGTGGGTGGAGAGAGTGCGGTGAGGGGTGCAGTGCGGTGAGGGGTGGAGCGAGTGCGGTCAGGGGTGCAGTGCGGTGAGGGGTGGAGCGAGTGCGGGGGGGGGGGCGGAGTGCGATGAGGGTTGGAGTGAGTGTGGTGAGGAGTAGAGTGCCGCTCCTATTTCTTGTCTCTCTCCTACTTCGTGCCCCCTCGAGATCTTCCCCGCTCTTACTCTGTTCCCCTTCTTTTCCCCTGCCCCATCCTTCTCTCCGGCCCACTCCAATCATTTCATCTCCCTCCGCCTCTTCACCCACCAGCAACTGACACAAGGCGTGTGCTCCGGCTGCACTGCCAACTCCAACCGCTCTGCACCGCACTGCGCCATGCGGCGAGTGACAATGGAGTATCTATACGACCCAGCAGTGAGCTTCACAGCAGGCGGTCTGAACACATCGGACATCACGGTTCTGAGCAGCTACTTCAGCCACCTCAGGACCCCCCTCGTGCTCAAAAGCACTCAGCAGCGGAATGCCACGTGCCGTTTGGGGGGAGTGGAGGGCAGGGAAGAGGGGGAGGGTGAGAGGAGGGAGCTGGTGGAGAGTGGGGAGGAGGGGCGGGTGGTAGGGGGGGTGAATGTGAGCGTGGTGGCGGGGGGAGGAGGTGCGGGGGGAGGCGGTGCAGGGCTGGTGGTGCAGCGCGGGGCGGATCGAGCGCTTGCGGCGCAAGTGACGCGGTGCAGCCAGCTGCAGGTGAGCTCCGGTGAAGGAAGGAACGATGTGAGGACGAGCTGAGAGCCGCGACGCATGGATGTGGAATGTGGAATTTCCATCACTCAGCTTCCTTTGGCTGTCCGCATGAGAAAGCTCGACAACTGCTTATGAGCAAGTAGCGATGGTGCAGTGAAAGGAGGCATCTGGGAGAGGAGTGGTGGACTCTCAAGGGGAGTTCAACTAAAGGCCATATACTCGGGGTTACATGTGGAGTGGGGGGGGTGGGGTTACCTGTGTAAGGGTGCTATGCAAGCAGGTAGCAGAGTATGCATGGGTTGAACCATAACTCCACCCGCACCCCCTCGTCTCCTCTATTGCTCACGTCGCTAACCCCAATCCCACCCTGCAGGTGGCAGAGCTCTTCACCCATAACCTCACCCGCACCCTCTCGTCTCCTCCCCCCCTCACATGCGTCAACCCCAACCCCACCCTGCAGGTGGCGGAGCTCTTCACGCTCAGCTTCGCCCGCGGGCTGCTGGCAGTCAACCGGTCCTCCATAGAAGCGCGCTTCGTTACAGCGCAAGGCCGCGCGCGGTCGGCGTCGTTTGGCGTGCACCGGTCGGTGTGTGAGTCGGTGGAGCTGCGGCCAATCATAAAGCAGAAGTGGGCCATGTTTACTCAGGTGGAAGGTGAGTTGTTGCACATTGCCCTTGCATGTACCTTACTTGTTGCTGCCTTGAATACACCTCAGGTGTCTCTCCCTTGCATGCAGCTCGGGCATTGCATTTCCAGCAGATTCTCCCAAAGACTCCAGCCAATCCTCTCCCTTCTCTCCCCATGCACCTCCATGGACCCCACTTAACCGTTCTCCCTTCTCTTCCCACGCAGTGCATCCCTTGCCCCTCTCCAGAAAATTCAAAGATCAAGCTGCAGATGCGCGCACCACGCCAATGTGCTCCTCTCACCATGCCCGTTCCTTCTCCCTCGCCATTCTTTCTCGAATTGCTTCCCTCCGCCCTCTCCAGAAAAACTGAAGCTAGTGGTGTGCACGATGCCCAAGGTGGCGGCCAACTCGTGGCTCATGTGGCTGCGAGCCATGCTGGGGCAGCCGCACCCCGAGGACCCCATTCTCGCGCTGGACCCGCGGCGGGCGGGCTGGCACATGCTCACGCTGCACTTCACGGAGCAGCAGGCGGTGCAGCAGGTCACCCGCCCGGACTTCTTCAAGTTCACCTTCGTGCGCAACCCCTTCTCACGCGTGCTCTCCGCCTACTCCAACAAGCTTGTGATTACTGATGCACCCAACAACAAGACGGGCCCGGGCTCTAGAGAGTACTGGAATGAGGTGAGTCAAGCATTGTGAGGTGCGGGTAGTGACTGGCACTGCACTCCACAGAGCAGCAGGCGGTGCAGCATGAAACAACCGAAGCAGCTCACAGGTGATCCCCGGGCCTTTCCATGTGAGCTGCTTCGGTTGTTCATGCTGCATGGAATCTCCAACCTTGCCTGTCTCTGTCCTCTACCCCTTCCTTATGACTCCATGCGCAGCAATTCTTCAAGTACCTTCGGCCGCAGTGGGAGAAGGTGAAGGGCAAGGACGACCTGGTGTCGTTCCCTGACTTTGTCAAGCTCGTGGCGAAGCTCATGCAGAACCACCGCTGGCATATGGACCGCCACATTGCATCCCAGGTGAGGCACACAGCATGAGTGGTAGCACTTCTGCCCAAGTCTGGGGGTAAATACCCTCTTATATGCTCCGCATATGATGTGTCAATCCCTTTCGTTTGAATTATTTTGATTTTTTTTTTCTCTCTTGATGAACCGCAGTCGGACATTTGCTTCATGGACAAGATCAAGTACGACTTTGTGGGGCGGTTTGAGAGTCTGGAGGAGGATGCCAAGTATGTGGTGAACCGATTCGGAGGCGACCATCTCGACATCTTCAACTTCGGCGTCAACGCGCACCAGACCCGCGCCGACACCAAGCTTGCGAAAAAATATGACAAGGTGCGCACCTTTGGGAATATTGAGCCAGGTATAGTATTGGAATTAGAAGCACGGATGGGGAAGGCATGCGTGTCAGATAAGGAGACAGCGATTTGAAATCGTCCAAATGGGAAGTTCGTCCTCCCAAGTGTTCCTTATTCCTTTGCTGACATCAAGTTTCTTTTCCATCCCCCGTTGAATCGCCAGGAAACATACGAGCTGGTGAAGCGAGTGTTCGCGCGCGACCTACACATCCCTCTCAACAACATCACTCAACAAGCACCATCTGTCCTTGTGGACATGTTCGAGACAAAATAAAGGATTGAACAGTTACTTTAACCGCTTACAGGATAGGCTAGTTGCCGAATGTAGTATACATACTTATATGTGCATGTGTCTTAGTTGGCTAGATTGGGTTGTGCTCTATAAAGTATGGATTGCTACATACCTGCAACACATTGTTTCAAACTCTCTCTTTCGCCCCTCTCTAGTGTAGTTTGATTTACAAAAATGAGCACACATACCGTATGAATATATACAATACAAGATCAATGGAATTGCTTTGACACATGACAGATATGTAGCTTCATTAGTCGGCTAATCTAATGCTATAACCAAAGTCCAACAGGAATAAACCTTACAAAAGCTCAGAAGATCCTCCAGGGGAGGCCAGGGAGCAACCATGCTGCCACTTTGGGTGTTTGCACGATGCCTGGTGCAGCAGCAGGGCGGTTTCTGTCAAACTATATGTGCTGCATATTGTCTAGGCTGTAGTGGGGTAGCTCATATGGGGTACAACCCAATTAGGGTTTACTACTTGTACTCCTGCATCCTGTTAGTTCAGTCATTCCTGCTGCTAGATTCTGACATGGTTTCAGAGCACTAAGGTCCGTAGGACTGTTTTTTTTTCGGGCCCACCTACCGCTGCGGTTACCGCGCTACCCCACGTACCTGCCTGCCTTGCCTTGCCTTGTGACGTGCTGCACAAGCGCTGCCTCCTGCTGCCCTAGGCCAGCGCGCTGCCCCTAGAGGCCCGTAAAGCCCGCGCGCCGCCTCTACACGCCTGTCAGGCCCGCAACCACGCTGCTACCGCGCGCTGCCCGCACCGAAACCGCGCAGCCCGCACCGAGTCGCGCGCAGCCCGCTGCAGCCACGCGCAGCCCGCACCGAGCCGCGCACAGCCCGCTGCAGCCGCGCGCAGCCTGCACCGAGCCGCGCACAGCCCGCTGCAGCCGCGCGCAGCCCGCACCGAGCCGCGCGCAGCTCGCAGCTGCCGCGCGCAGCCCGCGCCGAGCCCACGCAGCCCGCGTCGAGCCGCGCGCGGCCTGCTACGGCCTCGCGAGGCCCGCGCGCGGCCCGCAGCAGCCCGCGCCGAGCCGCGCGCGGCCTGCTACTGCCTCGCACGGCCCGCGCGCGGCCCGCAACAGCCCGCGCCGAGCCGCGCGCGGCCCGCTACTACCTAGCGCGGCCGCGCGCGGCCTGCAGCAGCTCCGCGCGCTGTCCGCGCAGCCTGCGCCGAGCCGCGCGCGGCCCTCTGCCTCGGCCCCGACCTGCCGCTGATGCGGCCCCACCCTGCAGCTGCCACGGCCCCGACCTGCCGCTGATGCGGCCCCGCCCTGCAGCTGCCACGGCCCCGACCTGCCGCTGACGCGGCCCCACCCTGCTCCTGCCGCTGAAGCGGCCCCGCCCTGCAGCTGCTTCGGCCCTGCTCTTCAGCCGGTGTTGCGGCCCCGACGTCGCCGCTGTCGAGCGCCGGCCATGCTCGCCCGGTGAGCGCCTGCTCTCCCAGCCTTTGGTGAGCGACTGCCTGCCTGCCTGCCTGCCTGGCTGCCTGGCTGCCTGCCGGCCTGCCTGCCTGCCTGCGCGCCTGCCTGCCTGCCTGCCTGCCTGTCTGCTTGCCTGCCTGCCTGCCTGCCTGCCTGGCTGCCTGCCTGCCTGCCGGCCTGCCTGCCTGCCTGCGTTCCTGCCTGCCTGCCTGCTTGCCTGCCTGCCTGCCACGCCTGCCCTGCCCGCGCTAATGATACTGGCAGGTGGTCAGATGCAGCTCCAGCGACGTTCACGCGAGCCTCTCACGCCCCAGCAGCTTAGTGAGTGGTATACTAGCTGGGGTTGTCGCGGTAGCCGTCGTAGCTGTCGCCCTGGGGCTGGTCAGTTGGGAGCGTCTAGCAGTGGCCAGCTGCAGCTGCAGGGGCGTCCACGCGAGACACTTACGCCTCGGCAGCTCCAGGAGTGGTACGCTCAGTGTAGCAGGTCTACACGTACAGTTCGCTGCCCGTACGTCATTCGCACAGGTGCTAGGACTGGTCAGCCTTGTGGGACACTTGGTCACACACAGTCCCGCTGCTTCGCCCGTCTGAGCGACGACTGGCGCACAGTGTTTGGCGATGAGGCTGAGCTCCCCACCTGGCTGGAGCTGCATGGACAGGGGGTAGATATCTTTGCGCGTGACTATGATGCTATTCTCACTGCCATGTATGCATTGTCTACTAGTGCTGACCGTGCCTGTTGCCTGTGCGTACCGCCTGACCCTGGTGAGGCTGCTGCCCTAGGTGCTAGTGCGTCTCCTGCTCTAGGTGCTGGTGAGGCTGCTGCTCTCGGTGCTAGTACGTCTACTGCTCTAGGTACTGGTGAGGCCGTGGCTTCAGGTGCTGCTGTGTCTGCTCTCTCTGGTACTGCGCCCACTGCGGTCTCGCACACCTTCACCCTTGACTCAGGAGCTTCCCGCTCCTTCTTTCGCGACTGCACCGCACTCACGCCGCTCCGTCGGCCAGTCCCGGTCTCCCTGGCGGACCCCTCTGGGGGTCCAGTCCTTGCCCACTATTCCACGGTTCTGCCGTGTCCGGCCGTCCCGTCCGGCTCGCTGTCAGGTCTTTACCTCCCCTCGTTCTCTACGAACTTGGTGAGCACAAGGAGCTGCCCTCCAAGATGGGGGGGTTCACCAGTTCACTCCTGCGAGTCAGCGAGTGACTCACTGTACGTGTGCTAGGACGGGCCGGCACTTGGCCACGTTCACCCGTGCACCTGGCTCGAGTCTGTACACACTGACCACTGAGTCCCCTCAGGTAGCTGCGTCTGCGTCTGCGTCTGCGTCTGGTCAGCTGGCGGCCCCCTGCGAGTGTCGCGCTTTGTCACACGACACTCTCCTGTGGCACCACCGCCTTGGTCACCCCTCCTTGCCTCGCCTGCGTAGCATGCACTCTCGCTCCCTGGTCTCTGGTCTCCCCAGGTCTCTGCCTGCCCTCCCTCCCTCGCCTGCGCCGCCCTGCATTCCTTGCGTCGAGGGGCGGCAACGCGCTGCTCCTCACTCCTCCTCGTTTCCTCCCACAGAGGCTCCACTGCAGACGCTCCACCTGGACGTGTGGGGCCCAGCCCGCGTCCAGGGACAGGGCCACGAGCGGTACTTCCTGCTGGTTGTCGACGACTACACGCGTTACACCACGGTCTTCCCCTTGCGGACCAAGGCGGATGTCCCTGCTGTTTTGATCCCCTGGATCCGCGCTGTTCGTCTCCAGCTCCGCGAGCGGTTCCGGTCGGACTTTCCTGTCCTACGTCTGCACTCTGACAGAGGTGGTGAGTTCTCCTCCGACCTCTTGGCAGCCTACTGTGCGGAGCACGGCATCACCCAGTCGTTCACGCTTCCGGCCTCTCCGCAGCAGAATGGGGTTGCTGAGCGCCGCATTGGCTTAGTCATGGAGGTCGCTCGTACCTCCATGATCCATGCGGCTGCCCCCCATTTTCTGTGGCCGTTTGCGGTCCGGTACGCCGCGCATCAGCTCAACCTTTGGCCCCGTGTCTCCTTGCCGGAGACCTCGCCCACACTGCTGTGGACGGGGAAGGTTGGCGATGCATCGCGTTTCCGGGTCTGGGGTGCTCGTGCCTTTGTCCGCGATACCACCGCGGACAAGCTCTCCGCCCGCGCTGTTCCCTGTGTCTTCCTTGGCTTTGTCCCTGACGCGCCTGGTTGGCAGTTTTACCACCCCGCCTCGCGCCGTGTCTTTGCGTCTCAGGACGTCACGTTTGACGAGTCGGTTCCCTTTTACCGTCTCTTCCCCTACCGCACTGCCTCGCTCCCCCCCCCGCCGCTCTTCCTCGCTCCAGGTGCTCCCCAGGTAGACCCCCTCCCCGCTCCCGGTCCTGCTCCTTCAGGTGTTTCTCAGGTAGACCCTCCTCCCTTGACTGCGCCGGTTGAGGTCACTGGTGACTCAGGTCCTCTGAGAGTGGTCCTGCTCGGGGTACTACTTCTGGGGGTGCTGAGCCTGGGGGTGCGGAGCCTGAGGGTGCTGAGCCTGGGGGTACTGAGCCTGAGGGTGCGGAGCTTGAGGGTGTGGAGCCTGGTGGTGCTGAGCCTGAGTGTGAGGGGTCTGGGGGTGCTGAGCTTGGCGGTACTGACGCTGGAGGTTCTGGAGCTACTGAGGGTGGTGGCGCTGGAGGTTCGGGAGCTGCTGGAGGGCCTAGTACTGGTGGCGCTGGAGCTGGAGGTTCTGGAGCTGCTGAGGGTGCTCGCGCTGGAGGTTCTGGAGCCGCTGGAGGTACTGGTGCTGAGGGTACTGACACCGGAGGTTCTGGAGCCGTTGGGGGTGCGGGCGCTGAGGGTTCTGAGTCTGCTGTTGCGCGGTCTCCTTGGAGTGGCCGCCTTCGTCCACGTGTGCCTCTCACCCCACAGCAGCTGCAGGACTGGTACGGTCGCCGTCAGCGTCGCGCTGCTGGAGCTAGGAGTGGTGCTGGTCCTTTGTCTACTGGAGGTGCTGGAGTCGCTGGTTCTGGAGGTGCTCGTGCTGGAGACACTGAGACTGGAGACCCTGGGACTGGAGGTGCTGGTTCTGGGGGTGCTGCTGCTGGAGGCACTGAGGCTGGAGACCCTGGGACTGGAGCTTCTGGAGCTGCTGGAGGTACGGGAGCTGCTGGAGGTACTGGAGCTGCTGGAGGCACTGGAGCTGCTGGAGCTGCCGGTACTGGTGCAGCTGCGCCGACACGGCTGTTCTTCGCTCCGCCGTCTCCGTCGTCTCTGCCGCCGCCTGACTCTGCTCTTCGTCAGGTTCTTACTCTCCCGTCGTCTACTGGTCTTCCGTTACAGCCTGGCTCACCGCTGCTTGCTCCTTCTCCTTACACTGAGCAGACTGGTAGTCCTGCTGAGCGTCGTGAGCCTGCGTCGCGTCCTGTCTCGCCTGCTCGTCCTGGTCGTACCGGTCGTCGTGTTCCTCGTTCGCGTCAGCCGGCTGTCCCCAGCGCACGCCTCGTAGTCCGTCGTCCTTCCTCTGCTCTGCAGCCTGTTCCTCTGCCGTCTCCCCCTGCGTCCTCTCTGCCTGCCGTTCCGGACCCTGAGTCTGACAGGTTTCGTACTGAGCACCCTACTGTCACGCGTCTCCTAGCCACTGTTGTCACTGACCCGTCGTTTGAGTCTACTGCTGCGTCTGCCTTGGTCGCTGAGCTTGTTGACTTTGCTGCTGCCTGTCGTCTAGACTACGCCGCTAGTCTTGTTGCTGAGTCTGAGTCTGTCTGTCCTCCGTCCGTCGGGGGTGAGTGTGCTCTTAGCACGGACGTCCTTGAGGACAGGCAGGAGGAGTTCCAGTGTCTTGCTGCTGCTTTACCTCATCTTGTGTCCTCGCTACTTGCCCCTGAAGGAGACCCGGATGCACCAGACATCCCGACTCCGCGCTCTTACGCAGAGGCGATAGAGGGTCCCTACTCCTCTCAGTGGCAGGCACTCCCTCTCAGTCACAGGGTTACACCTTCAGCCTTGGCTCTGGTTCAGTTTTGTGGCGTTCTACACGCTCGTCTTCAGTTCTCGGCTCCAGTTGTGAGGCTGAGATCTACGCCACCGCCATGGCTGCACAGGAGTTACGCTGGCTCACGTACCTGCTGACTGACTTGGGAGAGCAGCCTCGTTCTCCTCCAGTGCTGTACGTTGACAACAAGGCCGCCATTGCCTTGTGTGAGGAGCACAGACTGGAGCACAGAACGAAGCACATTGCTCTGCGGTACTTCCTGGCTCGAGAGTTGCAGCAGCGAGGCCAGCTTCGTCTTCGCCACGTGGCCACTCGGGCCAACACTGCTGATATATTCACCAAGGCACTTCCGTCTGGTGATCATCAGCGCTTTTGTACTCTGTTAGGCCTTGTGCCTACGTTTCCACACTTGCTGTAGTCTCTGCTTGTACTGTGATCTGTACATATATATATATATATGCATGCTGGCTCTTGCTAGGTAGCCATCACTGTACTGTTATTGCTGCATATATATCTCTGCATGTGAACTGGCCCTGTGGCCCTTTGCTTGTGCTCGGAATGCGTGGTGACGTTGGGATCCACCCTGAGCTTGTTTTGCTTCTCTTGACTGGTCGTGTGACCTCTTGTTCTCCCCCACTTTGCCTATGGGGGTGTGTCAAACTATATGTGCTGCATATTGTCTAGGCTGTAGTGGGGTAGCCCATATGGGGTACAACCCAATTAGGGTTTACTACTTGTACTCCTGCATCCTGTTAGTTCAGTCATTCCTGCTGCTAGATTCTGACATGGTATCAGAGCAAAGGTCTCGGGTTCGAATCCCGGTGTGTGCACTTCGGGCATCCCAGTGCGGGGGGGTGTCAGAGGTCCACTGGTGATCCCCGATTGATCCTAGGGAAGGGTTACAGGCACGTTGGTCTGGGGGGTTATGGGCGCACTCACCCGCAGCCACTCTGCGCTGCAACGCATCGACAAACGCGACGGCTTGTTGAGCATGGTGGCAGTGTCCCCATGTCCGCGCACCACCAGTCGCAGCTTCTGCAGCCCCTCACTGATCCTCTCCCACCTCTGCCTCTCCGCCATGCTCCGCGCCTTGATGCACCCGCCCGCCATCTGCCTGTCCTTGCACTCATGGTTGTGCGGCAGCCAATTGTCCAAATCTGCCGCCCCACCTCCGCGCATGGGACTTCCGCCAAAACCCGCGATGTAATCATCTGAATTGTAATAGTAGATCATGCAAGCTGCTGCTTCTGGTGCGGCCATGGCTGCTAGTGACGCAGGCGCAGCGGAAGCAGCACCATTGTCGATGGGCAGGCGAAAGGGCATCAGCAGCGGGCCATGGTCGAGCGTCCTGTTGGCGGGGTTGGCGGCATGAGTGGTAACCATTGGCAGCGGCGCAGCCGCGCCGGGAGAAACAGCGCCGGGTGCGGGGCACGGTCTGCCGACCCCGCTGCCGTGGAGGATGACATTAGCAATCGCACGGCGTAGCTGGCGCGTCACCTCCGACTCTTCCTCGCTTCCGCCCACGACAGGTGCATCCGCGGAGGGTACCTCCTCGATCTCCGCCGCCTTGCGCTTCCGCGACCCTGCTGCCAGCGCCGCGGATGAGAGGAACTCTCTCTCATCAAGCGATTTCGGTGAGGAAGGAGGCTCGGCGGCGGCGGCGGCGGCGTCATCCGCCGCTGGGTCCGCGAGAGCTTGCATAAGCGCCACGAGCAACTGCATAACTTGCGTTCGCCTCACCGTTCTTCTCGCTGCTCCCTTCCGTAGTACGGTCTCGAGTGGACCAGGTTGAGAAACGATTCGAATGCAGTGTCCATGTCGCCGTAATTGGGAGATTCCGGGATTGTTTCCAGGTCGAACATTGGCTCGACGGGAGGCCGATCCGCTTCTGTGGGCGCCATCGTCGGGAACTGGGGAACTCCTTTGGAACAAATAGAGTGGGGAGTGAGTGAGTGTGTGTTGGAGAGTTGGGTGTGTTGGATGCATGTTGTGGGACTGCTTGAGGGATAAAGGCAAAGGGGGAAGTGCAAAGACAAGTTCGACGTCCCCCACAAACAACGCCCAAACATGTCCGCCTGGGAAAACGCTGGTGAGCGCCTTGTTAGGCCTGACGTGGCCCCAAGGCTCGGCGACGTTTCTAGATGTCGCATGTGTAGGCCCCTTGCCTGCTCGTGAAGCAGCAACTGCGAGTTTCTATTGGCTGCGATAGCTAGCGAAATCTCAACATGGGATGCTAGTTTGCGCCAGCCCCCTCCTGAAGCCCCGCGTGGGTTGTCCAGTGGGCCGGTGGCGAGTTTTTTGGTAACAACCTCGCCTTTGCTTATCGCACAGCCTGCCCACGTTGGTCTGCTTGACGTGTATCTGGATGGACCCGAGGCGAAGATGACATAGAGTGCGCATGTTCGCAACTCGCTGTCACCACCGTATCAAATCCGTACACACCTATTGCCTTCAAGAGAAAGGATCACATTTTCTCCTTTGAGACTGTTTATGAGTTGTGCTAAGGCCGCGTGTTAGGGGGGATTTACTGTTCATTTCAAACAGTTCTTTCCAACTCACCCTTATCCTTATCTTCTCAGATTCTCTAGTGCCACGTGGCACTCTACTTTTCTTGCACTCCAATTCTTGGTCCCACAATCCACTTTCCAACCTTGTTTCTTGCATGCTATATAAACCTTGCTTGTACTCGGCACTATCAACCAATTCTCATTCAACTCTTCTTCAATTACTTAGTAACCCCTTCGCCTATTTCGCCAATAGTTCTTTCGCCAAAGTCTTCCGCCGCGTTTCATCCTCGACTTAGTCGACCCCGCTAATTCTTTAGCGTACTTAGACCAGCGGGCCTAACACTTGGTATCAGAGCCTTCGCGAGTGGGGAGTGACTTCCAACGAACGACCCTCAACGACGAGACTACGCCGTCATCGTCCCGCGGTGCCGACTTGCAGACTTGGAGTCGTCGAGCCAACATGGACGAGACCATGAACGCTCTCCCCCAAGACATGGGCAACGCACTTGTCGAGCTTATGCGCCAACTCGAACAACTGACGTTGGAAGATCGTCAGGTGCGAGCCGAAATGAAACAACTTCGCAACTTGGCTTTAAAGCCCCATGGTCATGCCGCACCAACTCCTGCACCCACCACGTCGACTGGCGCGGAAGCGCTGCCGGAACGTCGAAGCGCACTCAAGCCGCAGAAGCCCGAGTCGTTCGACCCAAGTCAACGCGACGCGAACGTGCGGACGTGGCTCTTCATGCTCAACAACTACTTCGCCGCGAGCGGGGTGCCAAGAAGCGGACGCACTGCAGCGGATCGAGCATGCTGTGACTCTGTTGAGGGGGCCGGCATTGGAATGGTGGCGCCAACTTATGCAGATTGCTGTTAGAAGGGCTAAGACGGACGGGCATCAATAGGACGTGGAGCATGCAGATGCAACTTCGAGCTTAGGGAGTTTAGCTTTGGGTGTTACCACGGTTCCGACCACATGGGAAGGATTTGAAGCGGCGCTGAAAAGTAGGTTCGATTTGGTGAACGCCTCCGAAGCTGCTAGGAAGCGTCTGCGTCATTTCCGACAGATAGGAAACGTCTTGGAGTACACACGACGGTTCCTGAGCATCTGCAACGAGATAAACGACATCATGGAGGCAGAGATGCGCGATCGCTACCTCGAGGGGTTGAAGCCGGACATAGCGGAGATCATAGCAATTAACGGGTTGTCCACCTTTGAGTCAATTGTCGCAGCAGCAGAACGCGTCGACGCAGTACGAAGTGGACGGGGTCGTGACGATCGAGATAGGGGATACAACCGAATGATCAACGACGCTCGATGGAGGGACGGACCGTCGCCCATGGAGATTGGTGCAGTTAATAGTGACGGTTCACAGCGCAGCGGATTTAGGGGGAATTGTCACTACTGCAAAAAGCTGGGTCACATGAAGCGGGACTGCCTAGAGTTCGAGGAGCGGCAGCAGGGAAACGGAAACCGCCAGTAGATAGCGGGTCGCTAGCTGGTGTGGAGGTTCCCGTACCCGCCAGGTCTACCAACGTAGAGGAGACGGCCTTGCAGCAGTCATCTACGGAGAACTCGGTAGACACTATTGATCGTCAAGTCGTGCTTCTAGGGAAGCTTTGCGGAGTTCCTATTAAGATTCTCGTAGATAGCGTGGCTAGCAGCTCATTCGTCTCTTCTTCATTAGTTAATCGTCTCCATCTCGAAGCAGATTTGTCAATCAACTTCAAGGACGCTCGCATGATAGATGGGACGCCTCTCCACATAGGACCAGTCATTCGCAAGTTGCACGTAGAGCTAGGACCGATCACTGTTAGACACGATTTTGACTTTGCAACATTAGACGGCTACGAATTCATCTTCGGTAGAGATTGGCTGCGCACGGTTAGTACTAAGTTCGATTGGGCTCAGGGAAGTTGTAGCATCAAGGTAGACGGGGAGTTCGGGCAGCTGCCACAGTGGAGCGATGGGGCCACATCATCCACAGCTATCATTAATGCTGTTCGTGTGCGACAGTTAGTGAAGCGTGCGGCACGGATCTTTGCGGTTTTCCTTGAGGAGGGGAAAGGAGGGAGTGCAGCAGTTAGTGAGAAGGCGACTCTTCCTGCTGAAGTGAGTGCACTGTTAGCAGAGTTCGCAGACGTCTTCCCTAACGAGTTGCCCCAAGGGTTAACTCCTAGCCGAGCAGTCGACCATCGAATAAAGTTAGAGCCGGGGAGCAGACCGGTAGCGAAGCCAGAGTGGAGGTTGAGAGACAGAGGAGATGACGCAGCAGGTTAGGCACTTTCTCGCACAGGGGTTCATACAGCCATCTAGGTCGCCTTGGGCAGCACCGATCCTGTTCGCGCCTAAGAAAGACGGAGGGTTACGGATGTGCATAGATTACCGCGCACTGAACGCCGCCACCGTCAAGAATAGGTTCCCGGTGCCGAGAGTAGAGGATCTTCTTGTTGCAGTGCAAGGCGCTAGAGTCTTGTCTAAGATCGACCTTCGTTCGAGTTACCACCAGATTCTCGTTGTTCTAGAGGACCAACACAAGACGACGTTTCGTACGAAGCAGGGGTTGTACGAGTTTAGGGTTCTACCGTTCGGACTGACCAACGCCCCAGCGACGTTCCAGACGCTTATGAACACCGTCCTCTCCGAGTTCCTAGGTTCGTTCATTGTCCTTTACCTAGACGACATCCTGATCTTCTCCAAGTCGAAAGAGGAGCACGTGCAGCACTTGCAGAGGGTCTTTGAGGCCTTGCGAAGGGAGAAGCTGAACTATCCCATACACGACAAAGATTCGATCGCGATCATCCACGCGTATGAGGTGTGGAGGTGCTATCTAGAGGGGGCTGATAGTGTTATACGCACGGATCACTGGTCGCTTCGTTTCCTCAAGTCGCAGCCGCAGCTGAGTCGTCGCCAGGCTAGATGGATGGAGTTCATGGAGGGGAGTTTCCACTACAGGATAGAGTACAAGCCAGGCGTGCGCAACCCAGCAGATCCGCTCACTCGCCCTAGTTGCTAGTTCGCTAGCCTCACAGTTATTGTCGGCCATCCACTTCTCACAGCACTCTTCGAGCACGGTTACACAGTAGATCCCGACTTCACACCGCAGCCGCCCGCAGGAGCAGAGGTGCAGGGTAGTGTTTACGTACAGAAGGGTACAGCACGGATTTCGGTTCCCGCCTACTGCTCTCTTTGATAGCTCCTCCTTTCCGAAGACACACGACGTAGTTAGTGCAGGACACTTTGGAGCAGATAAGACGGCAAAGACCCTGAGTCGTACGTACTATTTGCCAGGGCTTGCAGTAGACATAGAGGATTACATTCGCTCGTGCGACACGTGTCAGCGTACGAAGTCCTCTCGCCGCAGGACTTTGCAGCCGATTCCGCCACCCGACTGCCCTTAGCTGGTTGTTACGATGGACTTCATCATGGCATTACCGCGCACAGTTTGGTGTGACGACGCCATCTGCATGGTAGTGGATAAGTTTTCTCGAGCAGCGCACTTCATTGCACGGCCAGGTCACAGCAGAGGAAGCCGCGACGCTGTTCGTAGATAACGTAGTCCGACTGCACGGGGTTCCAGATTCCATCATTTCCGACCGTGACCCTCGACTTACCTCGAAATTCTGGAAGCAGCTTTTTGCAATGTTTGGGAATCGCTTAGCCATGTCATCTGCGTACCATCCAGAGACAGACGGACATGCCGAGCGTGTGAACCAGACCTTGGAGCAGATTCTTCGTAGCATCACGATGCACGATGCAGCAGCATGGGACAAGAAGCTGAGCATGGCAGAGTTCGCATACAACAACACGCACCACTCCGCCACAGGCATGTCACCGTTCTTCGCACTTTATGGTCAGCACCCCAATGTCCCCACTCGTGTCGATCTCACACCCACTGTCCCTCGTGCGGACAACTTCCACCAGCATCTCACTTTCATTCATGATCACATGAGTAAGCACCTTGAGCTCGCAAATGCACGCATGGCACGCACCACCAACCGCAGTGCTCGTGAGGTGTCGTTTTCAGTCGGTGATCGTGTCCTTCTCGATAGCCGCAACCTCCGACTGCCACAAAATAGCAAGCTTCGCCATCTCCAAGGGGGTGTCTCTTTCATTGACTTTTTGTTTCGTTGGCGTGGTTACGACGCAGCCGACGACAGCTGGGTTCCTTCGTCCTCGCTGTCTCCTGACAACGCTTGCCTCCAAGCGTACCTTCAGTCTCTAGGTGTCGAGGACGTCGCCTCCTTGGGAAGGGGGTAGTGTTAAGGGGGGATTTACTGTTAATCCCGAACGGTTCTTTCCAACTCACCCTTATCCTTATCTTCTCAGATTCTCTAGTGCCACGTGACACTCTTCTTTTCTTGCACTCCAATTCTTGGTCCCACAATCCACT